CTTTGTGGTGGGTCTCTCAATGAGGCTGGAGGGTCTGGCAGCCAGCAAGTCTCAGGAATCCTCCTGTCATGCCTGGCTACATCCCAGGCTGGTATCTGAACTCTGTTCTCATGCTTATGCAGCAAACTCTTCCCCACCTAGCACAGTTTCTCTGCCTCTGTGCTACTGACAATGAGCTAGTACAGTTCTTATTTACAGGGACAGCATGTCCTGTGGGACATCAAACATTTAGCAGCATCCGTGGTCTCTATCTACTAGTTGTCAGCTACATTTGAATCAGAACAACTAAAACTGACTCCAGATATTGCCATGAGCCAGGACTGAATGGAACAGCCTTGGGCCGGAGCCTGTTTCAGTCACATGAGCATCTGGCAGCTGCTGATGCAAATGACCCAAGCTCGGGTCTCACAACTAGGGGGCAGGAGTTCTACTGGCTCCTGAGCCAGTAGCCTGGAGTCTTCATGGATCTGTGCCTGCTTCCTCCCTTCCTTGTCTTCTCATCCTTCTTCCTCTCTTCATCCTTCTTCCCCTCTCCTTCCTTCCCAGTGTTGAGGATGGAGTCCCTGAGTTAACACCTAACCCTAAATATGTCTATCCAGAGTTCATGCTTCCTTGGTCATGTCTCTTTTCTACCCTTCTACCTCTTTATCTATCTATCTACCTATCTATCTATCTATCTATCTGTCTGTCTGTCTGTCTGTCTGTCTGTCTGTCTATTTTTGTCTTTGTTTTGAGACAGGGTTTCTCTGTGCAGTCCTGGCTTTCCTGAAACTCACTCTGTAGACCAGACTGGCCTCAAACTCTGGGATCCACCTACCTCTGCCTCCAGAGTGCTAAGACTAAAGGTGTGTGTAACCCTGTGGTATAGTAAGATGATTCAGGACCCATGACTCACCTCTAAGAAGTTCCTTTTGCCCCCCCCCACACACACAGATTCCCAGGGTAGCGATATGAACATCTTTAGAGGGGTTGCTATTGTTGGGCCTCAGGGTGTAATGGGACTTGCTATGCAGGACCTGGGAAGAAGTATGGGGGGAGGGCGGAGGTGTCGGGGAGAGTGGGGGTGATCAGGATGGAAGAGCAGCTGGTATTTTCCAGCACTAATCCTATGCTAGGCTTGGTGGGAGAGGGGGTTGGTCTCCCTGGGGTAGCTACTCTTCTGCTGCCTGCTGATTTGCACAAAAGAAAATGACCCCAGGGAAGGCCCTCTTGGGGAGGTAAGAGTCCGGTGTGTTCCTGAAGGGGACAGACAGGTTTGACCCCTGTGGGTAAGGCACTCCAAAGCAGCAGAACCTGTGGGTGTGAGGGCAGGGAGAAGGAAAACTCATGAGAAAGGTGACTGATCTGGACCTGGAAAGTAGGAGACATGCAATCTGATGGAGGAAGCCAGTGTGGACGCCTTGGTCCTCTTACTCTAACGTAAACTAGTGTTGCTTTTAATAGTTCACGGTTCTTTCATGACTCCTCAGTGCATGCTGAGGCTCCCTCACTTGATACCCCCCATGCCCACGTCCCCTCAGAAATACAGAGAACAAAGCAGAAAACTGAGTCACACCAACCAGGACTACACAGTGAAGGTGCCATAGGGGTAGGGGGTCCAGGCACAGGCCATCACAGCCTGCTCCATTAAGTCTTTTGTTTAGCCGGGCGTTGGTGGCGCACGCCTTTAATCCCAGCACTTGGGAGGCAGAGACAGGCGGATCTTTGTGAGTTCGAGACCAGCCTGGTTGGTCTACAAGAGCTAGTTCCAGGACAGCCTCCAAAGCCACAGAGAAACCCTGTCTCGAAAAACAAAACAAAACAAAAAGAAAAAAGTCTTTTGTTTAGGACAGGATCCACTCCTACAGCAGAACCCTGCTTCAAAGCCCTGGCCAGGGCATACACAGTGCAGCCTATCTTGAGCTTGCAATTATGGGTTTGTCTGTGGGTTGTTTTTCTTTTGGGACAGGGTCTTTCGTATCTAGGCTGGTCTCCAGTTCCCTATAAAGGAGAAAGACTTTGAACTATCTCCTGAGTTCTGGAATTATGGGCATGTACCACCATACTTGGTTTTACTAGGGCTAAGGGTAGAACGTGGAACCCAGGGCTTTGTACCTGTTTGGCAAGAATTCTACTAACTGGGCTACATCCCCAGGCCTGTTTTTTTTTTTTTTCTTTTTTTTTCTTTTTTTTTTTGTTCCAAAGAAACTAAAAAGTGACTCCAGTGCTCAAAACATCATGGACATGCTGAGCATTGGTGCACAGTCTTTTAATCCCAGCACTACAGGCCGATCTCTGTGAGTTCGAGGCCAGCCTGGTCTACAGAGGGAGTGCTGGGATAGGCTCCAAAACTACACAGAGAAACCCTGTCTGGAAAAAACAAACAAACAAAAAGACATCATGGACAAGCTGGGTGCTACCTAGAGCAGCCTGAAGTGGCTCAGCCTGTGACCATAGCTCCTGGTATCTCCTGCACCCTGCTGAGACCATGTGACTGCATTTAGGTCAATGAAATATAGCCTGAATAACTTTGCATGGATTCCAGGCCCACTCAGCTGCTCATTTTCCACCCCTGGAAGAGGAGGCTGATGTCACTTCCAAGTCATTATAGAGCACCTGCTGTGTACCTCCTCTGAGCCTCATGGAGGATACAGGCTCCCTCCTCCGACACGGAGTTCTAGCACAGTGGAATTGCACAACAATTGCACAGCACACTTGATTCTATCAAGCACCTGCCCCAAGCTGAAGTCTCCTTATGCAATCTGTCACCAACTTGTCTCCTGACCAAGTGATATACTCCTCTATCAGATCTGTGGATACAGCCCTCCTTCAGCACTACCTCCAACTCCCAGGTGGTAGGGACTATTTGCTTCATTCTACAGGTGAGAAGGGTGAGGGGCAGAGGCATAGTGACTTCCCTATAATCATACAGCCAGGAAGCTGGGAAGTTGGATTTGAAACTGATGCTGGCCAAATTCAGTGACTTTTAATGTAGTCTTCATTTCCTCAACCAGAAAACCCAGCAGCAGCTAGCAGCCACCCCTGGGAACTTCTTAGAAATGCAAACTGGGAACCTCACTCCAGACCTACTAAATGAAACTCCACTGTGGTCCAGCAATCGGAGGCAAGCAAGCCCTGCAGTTGGCAGATGATGTGCCCTGAAGGTAGAACCACAGGCCCACACTCCTCTGACTCTTCACACTCCTGACTCTTCAGCTTGTGAAATGCTTCTCCGAGCTTTACTGCCATACTGTGCTAGCGTCTCACCATTCCCTTCCCCAGAAGCCTTGCAGTCCTTACCCATAGGCCCTGGATGCAAGAGGTTAGCCAAATACTCTCATTCGTGTGTGTGTGTGTGTGTGTGTGTGTGTGTGTGTGTGTGTGTGTGTGTGTGTGTGTGTGTGTGTCCCTGAAAGTGACTGTGGAAGCCAGAGCCAGAAGAGAACACTGGATCCCCTGAAGATGGTCCCACAGGCATGGGTGAAACACCAGATATGTAGAGAGGGGAAGCTAGTCCTCATGATCTAGCAGCTCCTCCCCCTTCACTTCAAGGGCCAGTGCTCTCAACAAGCGGCGTCCATGCTCCCCTTCCCTGCTCCACACAGGCCCTCATCCAACAAGCTTTAAGACTCAAACCCACAGTCATCCCAGGTGCAGACCCTGTGAATACCTGGGATCATCCTGGGTTCAACTGACTCCTGCAGCTGCCCCAACAGGCCACCGTCTCCCCCTCACCTGAAACCTCGCTTTTTTTCATCAGTCTGCCCTGCTGTTACTACTTGGGTTTCTCTGCCCCACCCTGAAGTTTTTCGTCTACACAATAAAAATCGGCAGAGAAGAAGCCCGAGTCTAAATAAATCCTGCTGTGTACCTCCAGGTTCCTCCATGCAGTTCCCAGGTGGGAATTAACAGGCCGGTGGATAACCGTTTGGTTCAAGTCTGACCAGGGTAGGATGAAAGGTTTGGAAATATCCTGTGTGTGGAAGAGCGTGGCAGAGCCATTCGAGAAAGACGGCACGCACGGCTAAGTGCTCAGACCCTCCAAAACACTGAGTGGGAGCCCATTCTTTGGAAAGACAGAGACCCCCCAGGCGAAGTGGAAGCTATCCCCCGCATCCCGCCCCGCTCCTGCCTGCCTTCCTCTCTCAGGAACACTTGCCCCTGCAAAGAAAGGAGAAGGGAAGTGCCTAAGGTTTGAACACGGCCTGGGCCCTCTCCTTTCTCCACACAGCTCAAACACACCACCTCCTCTGGGAAGTCTTCCCAAAACTTCACTCTTAATCCCCTATACACACATCCCTGTCTACCTACTCCACATTCCCTACCTAGCCTCTGGGGTCAAGAGACCCCTCTGAACTTCGGTTTTCTCCTCCGTAAACTCAACTTTCTTAGTTTTGTGGCCCCAAGACAGGGAGCGCCCCATTAGGGAGGAGCCAGAAACATGCCCCCAAGGAACGGCATCCCCAAGTTAGATCTCACTCCTTCACCACATACGCGATCCGTCACACTCAGGGTGCAGGTGGGCAGGTTTCCTGCAACCTCCGCGGCTAACACTAGTTTATCTTGGCCGGGACTTACCCGGGAGATCCCCGCCCCCGCACCACCAAAAGCATAGTAATGCTCAGCCCTTTGGCGCACATGTCTCCAAAGCCTGCCAACACCCCAACTCCCTCAATCAGCAAGGGCGTACACTGCACAGACCTTGAGGTTCCGGGAATTGAGGGCTGCACAGACCTCCGGTGTAGGGAACCGGGTGAGGGGAATGCGGCTTGGGTGCTGCAAGGAGACAGGAGACTCGCCCGGACAAAGAGTCGGGACCCAGGCGGAGGCCCTGCAAGCGCTGCCTATTGCAGCCAGAACAGCACCCATCGCTTGCCATCCCTAACTTTACAGGCGCAAACACTGCGCCCCGGGGGACCTTGGCAACCCGAGAAACCGCCCAATCACCTTTCGGGGCGCCGCTGCAACGGGGCGCGCAGGCCCGGCCCCCCCACCCACCCCCGCACAGCAGAGTCACCTACCTTCCGCAGGGAGACAGGCGCGGCAGCCGCTGCCCACGGTCGCAAGGATCCCGAGTAGTTTGCAGATGTTCGTGGCCAGGCGCCCCAGGGTGCAGAGGGCAATGGAAGGTCCCCGGGCACGAGCCAAGCAACAGAGAGCTAGGCTCCGGAAGCCGCAGTGGGACGCGTGGAAACGTCCGAGCTCAGCAGCGGAGAACCAGCTGGAGCTAGAGATGGGGCTGCAGCTCCAAGTGGGGTTGGAACCTGAGCTAAGACCCGAGCTGGGGCGGGACTGACGCACGGGACGCACGCCTGGGCTCACGTGACCGCCTCCGGGTGGCCATCACCTCCCTGCAGCTGCTGCCGGTCTCCGGGCTCCCCCCGCCTGTTGAACACTTCCCCAGAGTCTGGGTCTAAAGCCGGTTACTCCGCTTATGTTCGTCGCTTGTCTTTCAGACCCAGGACAGGCACGGTGGCATTGTGTGCAGAGCATAACCTAAACTATTTTTATCAGAAAATCTTTGAGTTTTCTGACTTTTGAAGAAACTTGACACTTTACAAAGGCGGGGCGGGATGAAGGAGAGAAACAAAAATGATGTTGAAAAATGCCATGATGAATCCAAGTTGTGGTGAGCTAATTTTTTTTTTTTTTTAGTTTAGACACTCCTGGCAATTGCAAGTATTTGTGTAATTTTTATCTTCATCAGGCTTTCCTGGACTCTCTGGAGAAAAAAACAAGTTAAAGTATTCCTAACTCTGAGCCTAGGATATGGTGCATAGTAGGTGTTTAATCTGTGGGAACTTGGGCATGGTGGTGGTAGACCCCTGAAGCCCCGAAGGATGACAAATACAAGGCCAACCTGGCCTACAAAGCCTGTTTTAAAAAACCAACCAGAGTGATGAATGGGAGAAAGACGTGAAGACTAAAAAGCAGCGCTACCTTTCTTCTGTTCCTTCTGCGTTCTTTAGAAATAAAAATCTAAACAGTTGCACTTTTTGAGCTGTTTGTCCCTCCAACTACCCTACAAGAAAGCAGGCTGAGCAAGCCAGGCCGAGCAAGCCAGTAAGCAGTGTTCCTCTGTGGCTTCTGCTTCCGTTCCTGCCTATAGGTTCTTGCCCTGACTTCCCTTCATGATGGACGCTATGCTGTAAGATGAAATAAACCCTTTCCTCCCCAGGTTGCTTTTGGTCATAGTGTTTTATCATAGCCACAAAAGCCTCATTGGTAACAGACAGGGACCTAACACACGGGCACTAATACTCCGTATAATTCTCATAATAACCTCTTTATTGTACTCTACTTTGTACATAGCACACTGAGACTGCAAATGTGACTTTTCCAGGCTTACACAGTTAATAAGCAAGATCTGGCCCAGATCTGGGTGTATTCAGACCCTTCTGCCCTGTGAGCCTGGACTCTTCTGTGTTTGAGAGCAGTAAACCCTGTTCCCCCAGGGGAAGTAAGCCCATCAGACCTGAACACTACCATCATGAATAGTCCCTGCAAAAAATTGGTTTCCTTCCTTCCTTCCTTCCTTCCTTCCTTCCTTCCTTCCTTCCTTCCTTCCTTCCTTCTTTTGAGATGGGGTCTCACTACGTAGCTCTGACTCTCCTGGAAACTCAGTGTGGATCAGATCGGCCTCTGTCTCCCGAGTGCTGGGACTAAAAGGCATGCTCCACAGCAAGTTTGACTTTCTTTTTTTTTTTTATGTATGACTATGCATTTTAACTATTCATTTATTTAATTTCTTATTTATTTATTTATTATGTAAGTGTTCTGTCTGTATGTATGCCTGCAGGTCAGAAGACGGCACCAGATCTCAATACAGATGGCTGTGAGCCATCATGTGGTAGCTGGGAATTGAACTCAGGACCGACCTCTGGAAGACCAACTAGTCTTCTTAACCACGGAGCCATCTCTCCAGCCCAAGTTTGACTTTCTTGATTAAGACCCCATGTTACTGCATGAACTCAGAGAGGTGAATGCTGCCTGGAGCTTCCCAACATGACAACTCTCAGTCTGGCCTGCCCATGGGAATGATCAGCCCCTGCAGCCATAGGGAGCTGTACTGCTACTCCCAGCTGGGTCTTCATTTTTGATCCCCACTTTGGAAATAGAGCATATTTTCAGGTACCCCTTAGATATTTATAAGTTACTATAGAGCCTAGCAGCCCCTCTCTGTTATATGCCTAAGGGCCAAGGGAATATGTATCACAAAAAGGAACTGGGGAGTGAACAGAGGCTCAGGAGGTAGAGGCATTTGCCAAGCCTGACAAATAAGCCTGAGTCAATCCTTGGGGTTAACATGACGGGAAATTACTAATACATGCAGGATATCCTCTGGCCTCAACATATATACTGTATACACCTACACATACATGCACACGTAAAATGAATAACTGTAATTTTAAAAAATTAGAATAGATGTCCACATTTAAAACAAAACAAAACAAAAACAATGTATGGAGCTGCGTGTCACTGCACATGCCTGTAATTCCAGAATTTAAGAAGCTGAGGCAGGGGGTTGGAGATGGCTCAGCCATTAAGAACACTGGCTGCTCCTCCACGGATCCAGGTTCAGTTTCCCAGCACATGGTGGCTGACAACTGTGCCTCCAGAGGACCCTCTGCTGGCACCAGGCATGCACAGTGGTGCAGGCATAACATGCAGACAAGATATATATGTATGTATGTATGTATATGTATATGTATATATAATTTTAAAAACAAAGGTTTAAAAATGGTGTCTCACTGTGTAGAAAATACCCAAACACATAAATTAAATAAATAGAAAAAAAAAAGGTTGAAACAGGAGGATTGCTAGTTCAACACCAGCCTGGGCTGCATGGCACATAAAAACAGTTTTTTTTAAGATTTTATTTTTATTTATTATGTATACAACACTCTGCTTCCATGTATGCCTGCATGCCAGAAGAAGGCACCAGATCTCATTACAGATGGTTGTGAGCCACCATGTGGTTACTGGGAATTGAACTCAGGACCTCTGGAAGAGCAGCCAGTGCTCTTAACCTCTGAGCCATTTCTCCAGCCCCCCCCCAAAAAACAGTTTTTAAACTTTTTTTAAAAAGATAATCACTTTATGAGCATTTTGCCTATATATACCACATCCATGCCTGTTGCCTGTGGAGATCGGGGATTGTGTTGGATCTCCTGGACCTGGAGGGTTTTTTTTGTTTGTTTGTTTGTTTTGGTTTTTTGTTTTTTTTCGATACAGGGTTTCTCTGTGGCTTTGGAGGCTGTCCTGGAACTCACTCTTGTAGACCAGGATGGTCTCAAACTCACAGAAATCCACCTGCATCGGCTTCCCGAGTGCTGAATTAAAGGCGTACACCACCAATGCTCGACACTACAAGTGTTCTTAACAGGCAAGCCAACTCCAACCCTGAGACAGTTTTTTGGTTTTGTTTTTGCTTTTTGAGACAGAATTTCTTTGTGAAGCCTTGACTGTCTTGGAACTCACTTTGTAGACCAGGCTGGCCTCGAACTCAGAGATCCACCTGCCTCTGCCTCCCAAGTGCTGGGATTACAGATGTGTACCACCACCGCCTAGACAATTTTTGTAAAAGGGCTTGCAGAGTCCATGACATGACTCCTCTTCTGTCTTGGGTGTTCTTGGGATGGGGCTCCTAGTTCTATATGCCAAATATTTGAATAGGAAAAGATCTGGAAGAATCCAGGTCAGTTTTTTTTGCTGTTATTGTTTGTTTTGGTGGGCCTCACTGGTAAAGGAAGGCTTTCCCTTCTAACTTTACGCATAGGATTGGGCATTTTAAAAACTTAGGCACGTGCTTCCAGTACAATTCAAACTTAGAAACCAGCTTCCTTTCTGTGGAAGAGGAGGCAGAGGACGGGGTGGAGAAATGAGCAGTGACTTTATTTGTGTTTTTCTTTCTTTGCTCCAGTTTCACTAAGGAACACTAATTACTTTTACAACAGTTATTTTTAAATGTCACTTAGAAACAGAAACTCCCACAAAACTAAACAGAGCCTGGTTGCTCTGGCTTCTGTGGCCTCCCCACCCTTCCTTGGCTATGACTGGCTTTGCATTTGATCTGCCCTTATTGTGTCACCCAAGGCATAAATTATCAGAGAAGCGTGGTCAGCAGGCATGGGGGAGGACAGCTGAAAGACGAGGATGCTGGAGAGAGGCTGGATAGGAGCAATTAGAAGTCTGCACCTCGCTGGGGTTGGAGCTGGAGGCAAGCAGGTCCTGAACGCCTTAAGAAGCAGCTGTGCCCCTCCCCCTCCCTTTTCTATGATCAGACCCAATAGGTGTAGAATAAACTCTGACTTGAGCTAAATTATGGCAGTGTGTGTGTGTGTGTGTGTGTGTGTGTGTGTGTGTAAATATGCTCTGAGTTATTTTGGGGAGATAGCCTACATAAAGAGAACTTGGTACCTGGTGCCTTCCTGTGACTACATAAGAGTGTGATCTTCCAGAACGGGCAGGGTAGGGCCTGGCTATGTCCAGACAGTAATTTAATTCTGCTAGCTCTTAGGATGGGCAGCTCTGGGCAGAAATGTTTGCCTCTGTCTTTGAACTCAAATGGCAATGGGGTCAGATGAATTGGCCTTCAACAAGAATAAAAATCCAGGGCAGGGATGTAGTTTAGTGGTGAATTGTGCATTTAACTTGTAGGAGACCCTGGATTTGATCCCCAGAATACACACACACATACACTCTCTCTCTTAAAAAAGCAACCCCTGCAGAGGCAGGCGGATCTCTGTGAGTTCGAGACCAGCCTGGACTACCAAGTGAGTTCCAGGACAGCCTCCAAAGCCACAGAGAAACCCTGTCTCGAAAAACCAAAAAAAAAAAAAAAAAAAAAAGCAACCCCTGCTGGGCGTTGGTGGCACATGCCTTTAATCCCAGCACTTGGGAGGCAGAGGTAGGCGCATCTCTGTGAGTTCCAGGCCAGCCAGGTCTACAGAGCAAGTTCCAGGCCAGCCTCCAAAACAATATAGAGAAACCCCGTCTCAAAAAACCAAAAAAAAAAAACAAAACAAAAAACAAAAACAAAAACAAAAAAGCAACCCCTACCCCAAATCTCCAAAACAAATGAGCAAAGCAAACAAAAAACATTGGGCATGGTGATGCATGCCTTTAAACCCAGCACTTGGGAGACAAAGGCAGGTGGATCTCTGTGAGTTCCAGGCCAGTCCAATCTACAAAGTGAGTTCCAGGACAACTAGGGCTACACAGAGAAACCCTGTCTCAAAAAAAAAACATAAAACAAAACACAAAGCAAAACCTTTTT